ATTGGTCCAGTCATTCTTTCGAAGGGACATCAGAGATGCTATTGTTAAAGGTAGTAGCACTATCTTTGCTTTTATTAAGGGAAAAAACCCTAACTCATCAAGTTTGTCTATGAAAATGATGAATGCTTCAACTGTGTCTTCTTCAATGTAATTACTCATTCAGAAAAAGGCTCCATTAATTTGTTTTAATACTGTAGCATACTTAGCATATCATAGGATTTGTTTTATTAGTAATAGAATCCAAAACAAAAACACTAATTACTTGATGTGATTAAAATTTTTTGTAGCCATTAATTGGAAAAAGTAATTGCTTCAACTGTCCACTCAACTGTGTTGGTTTGTTTTTGTTATTAACTTTTTAAACCTGAAACTGTAAGCTCATAGCTGTTTGTTTTTTATATTTTATCAGTATATGAGTATAATGTATATGCTGTTAAAACAAAAGCAGTCAGTAATTGTTTGAACTAATTGTATACTTTGTATAAATAGTACTCTGATTTCCTGTTTGCTATTCAATGTTTTTTTAATAATGCAATGCATAGATCGTTATCATTTCCATGTAAAATAACTAGATAGTGTTCTTCTACTACTGTTATTATTGCACGGTCATAATTATTTCCATTTTTTGACTAAATTTGGTCAAAATGCTACTCCAAGGATTGAAGAGGCCCTTTTGACAAACAGATACCAATTCTGATGAAATGTATAACATTCATAACTACCAGCCAGTGTATTAGTCCTTTTCAGTCAGTGTTGTTTTAGTTGATGATTTAAATTTTAGTTTTAGTTACAGTAGGTACTTTAGAACAAAGTATATTTAGTTCCAGTTCTAGTTATAGTAAAGCCTTAGCCTATTAATTTTAGTTATGATTATGTGATACCATTTTGATTCAGCCATGCAGCTGGACACATGTGCTAGGTGTGGCTGGAATAAGGTGTGCATGTGGCTATCAGCTACACCATAGACCCTGAAATTTAAAGTGTCTATGGACATAGTGCTACATACAAAGCATTGAGAAGAGAACTTTACAGGCAAAAGATCAAAGTAATCCAATGATGTATATAAAATGCTTTGCTAGGTTAGGTAATGTAAACTATCCCCTAGAGGCTATATAGATGTTAGGCTTGAGCATATTAGGCAAGCATAATTTTGAGCATAATGAACCACACTAGAAATAAACATTATTCCAGAATAGTCAATTAACTTCAACCATGTACTGAATGTTAAGTGTTAACATGGCTGCCCATTTAGGCCCCAGCAAAGTCACTCTCTTGGAGACTATCAGGACTATGTACAATGTTCCTTGATGTTACAATGTAATGTGTGATGAATAATAATTCTTTATTTTAAAATAATAATTTTGATAATAATTCAGAATAATTGTAAGCATAGCCAATAAATATTGTAAGCATAATGGCATATATCTGAAGCACTAGAGAATAGCATAATGTAATGAATTGGTGGAATAATATGCCAAAGCCTACTAGATATTCTACATTTTTATAAAGAAATTACTACCAATTAGACAATAGTGTATTCATATAAGCTGTTAGAATGTACCTATTAATGCTAGTTATAAGTTAGCTTGCTCCCTATTTTTATTATCACCTAAAAATGGTGGTGATGGTTTGTGACAACCTCAGTCTAAACAATGAGATTAATGGACCACTGTTAGCAGCAGTGATTTTTTACTTACATAAGGAGAACTGGTATTCATTGTGCTGTTGTGAAGTATAGTCTTTTGCATTGGATTATGCAGCTGTTACAGTAATGTTTGAAGTCAATGAATGTGATGAGAATAGTACTATAGTCATATTTACTCATGCTTGGCTTATATAATCACATCCTATTTTGAATAGAAAGGTTTGTGGCTCTTTACGCTGTGGATTTTTCCTTTCCCTGGTGTACTCTCATATCATAGTGTAATGTGATATATAATAAGCTAGTCCTGAGTTGCCTCAGTTTAAATCTAAGTTATCTCTCTCTCTCTCTACTTTTATAGCTATCTATAATCATCAGAAATGGTGTTGGTGGTTTATGACAACTTCACTCTAAGTGATGAGA